TGTCACTGATTACAAGAAATCTATATGAGTTTTACTGTTAATGGCAACATAAACGTTCTGCTGTTTTAACTCTGGTATACTGAAAATGTCTTTATTTAAAATTTTGCTATTGCTATCATGTATTTTTTCCATTCATTTTGACTTTTTTTTTAATACTACATAAAAAATTTCATTTGTCTTGGTTACTGTACTGAGTTTTTGTCACTCAAGACAAGTTTCTTGCTCTCCTCACCTTAGCCTTCTATAAATGAGACTGCTTCCAGTGACCAAAAGAAAAATCTTACAGAGACCAGGTAAGAGACACTTTAAATGTCACATTGGAAAACTCAAACACAAACAGAATCTCAGTGGTAACAAAGGTTTGGGAAATGAATGATAACACCAGTCCTATAAATCCCTGTTTCCGGGACCTTACTAAATGACAACATCCATTAACAACTGTAGATGGCTCCTTCTGCCTCTCTCTCTTTATCCAGGAACTTGGAAAGCTCAGTTATTGCAAGGCATAGAGGTCAAAGGATGGGCAGATTACAGGATCCTCTTGGGGCTTTCCCTAAGGCCCAGTCACAGTCAGACCATGGGCACCTCCCAGGCTTCTTTTCTGTGCTGGTGAAAGCACTCACTGTGGGTGAGGTCAGGGACAGGGTCTGTTTGCTCACTGAGGAATCCTGTACCTGGTACCCTGGCTTTGCTCCTCCAGTCTCACTCTGTGCTTCCTTCTCTCTGGCCTTGGGAGGCCCATCACCAGAGCCTCATCACCTGGCTCTGGTACCATGGTCCGTGATTTTATATGCAGACTTGACCTTCAAGGTCATTACATAAGTATCCCATTTGTTGTAGTAGAAAGTAAAGCAAATTTTATCAACAATGTCAGCCGGAGTTATAACTTTGAAATATCCTGATTGGTAGTAGTCTTGGCCTGGGAAGAGCATTCAGGGGAGGGATGACTACTGGTTCCAGCCACTGCATCAGCCCACGAGACTTCATAGTCCCCCACACCTTTATAAGCAGTCCCCTGATTTGTAAACTCTCCTTGAATTATCTCAGTTCAATTGTGCCTTTTGTTTTCTATGGGTGCCCTGACTGACAGACATCACAAAAGCCTAACAGTACCTGGCACATAGGATCTCAATTTGATAAAAGTTATTGATTTGAATGGGTTGAAAAGGGGAAAATAAATAAACCCTCATGTAGAACTAATATGAACTAAACTCATATCAAGGCGCACCTTAGAATCAGGTGAAGCAGGGTGGGTTATGTCAAGAGAATGCTCTAAGGGGCATGTGTTCTGGGAAGATGTAGGCATATCAAGTGCATGGAGGCGAGATATGTAGACCTTGGATGGGACACCAGGTACAATCACACTGGGCCATTGCATTTGAGGGTGCATGGGCCACCAGGTGCTACATCTTGTTCCTCTTGTCCAAGATCATTGAAATTTAATTTTGAAATGTTTGTATAAAAACATACCAAAGATTTTATGAAAGTTCTGATGAAGCCATCCCCATTCAAGTATAATAATCTTGTATATTCAAGTATAATAGAGTCAAGTATAATCTTATAAATTCAAGTATAATAATCAACCCCTCTGATTGAGTTGTCCCAGTTTCTGGAATTTCTAGAAACTTCCATGGATATGTCTCCAATTTTCAATGACTATGTGTCCCTCAATAACATTCTATGTATTGCTTTATCCTGGTTTCATTCATATATTTATTTTAAAATACCTATGGAAAACTAAAATACTCCACAATTATTATAATAGCTGGAGAAACAATATTGAGAAAGATGGCAACGTCCTTGATTCATAGAAGGTAAGTTCTATTGGGACAGACAAGATAACATTCAGCTAAACCATCAGGGTAGTCAACTAATTGAACACCTTCAATGTACCAGACATTATTCCAGGCTCTGAGGACATAGAACTGGATGAAACACATAGACTTGGTTTACATACTAGGAGAGTAAATAGAAACGAGCAAGGATAAGAATTCACATCTATGTTTGTGATTTACACTGGGTTCCTTAAAATATAGAACTTGAAGAAGAGCTTATGGCAGGAATAAGGGAGTGGGGTGAAGTGGGCCAAGGAGAAAACACACAGGGATGGTTACCAAGCTGAGTATGGCTTCATCAAAAGCACAACTGTGTCCAGTTTTGCCTCAGCAGACATGAGGGAACAGGGTGGTTACTTCAGAGGGCCTCACTGCTCATGGAGGAACACACCTTGCTGTCTGCCAAGATGGTGGCAGAGCTCAGGGAGCCTGCTCTCAGGCTACTCAAACCCTCCCCCCTTCTGTGGCTCTCCGGAATGTGGTGGGTGCCAGGTAATCTTCCTGGGGACTTCCAGTGGCCATAAAAGTATGGTGTGATGCATCCAGGGAGGTCCAGGGGGTAGTTAGAAAGCATTACATGTCATGAGGACACTAGGTAGAGAATGGTATAGGACATATAAGAATGGCAAAAATTTGAAATGTTAATGAGCAGGCAGGTAAGACCCTCTGAATAGGATATGATTACTGGGTTAAGTATTTGAAAACATGAGAGAGTGAGCCCAGAGGGAGAAAACTAGGTGGAGAGAAAGAGAGCGGTCGGCCAGTGAGTCTGCAGGAGATGAGCTGTGAGAGCACAGGTGCTGAGGCCAGGGAACCAAGGAGGCTGCCACAGAAGCTACTGGGAAGGGCCTGGGAATCCAGCCAAGAAGCCAAGGTGACTTGCACTAGACCAGAAATGGCAGAAGTACCCTGAGGGGGTCAGACCTCCCATGGACTTTTGAGTATTTGATGGGAAATACATGTGGGTAGAAGAGAGAGGAAGACAAGGAAGACTATGTTTCTGAAAGGCTGGAGCCACCACTGACCTTGACATGGAAATGGGAAAAGTATGTGAGGAGCAGCAGAGAGGCCTCAGAAGTTCCATTTTGGAACTTCAGGTTATCACTTGTACAGACAATATGCAGTTCAAGGGTGAGTGAAGTCCTCACTGGAGATGTGATTATTGAACCTTTTAGGAAACAAATGGTTATTAAAACCAGAAGTCAAATAAGATAATTTCAGATAGGGGGAAGTTTGATGAGGAGAAGTAAATAGAGTCAGGAAATCAAAGGTCCTGCCAAAGGAGGGAGCTGCCTGGGGAGGAGCGCAGAAGGCCACTCTGCACAGGTGAATGGCAAGCTGAACTTTGAAGAATGGTGTCCCACTCATAATCCCACATATAAGACCCTTGGAGAAAGGTAGTTCCAGGTTGGAAGTTTTAGGTTTTAGAAAAAGCTACAGTGCATATACCTCATTGCACACAGTACCCTAGGCCCCTCCCCACCATCAATCATCCACATTGCTGCAGGAAACATTGATTGATCTCACTAAGCAGCATCAATCAACAATGGTCTTGTGTCAGAACACATTTTACCTCTACACAAGTTTGCAACAAGCCCATTTTTTCTCTTTTCACTTTTTCAATACAAGGCACTATTTTCAGCATTCATACACATTAATTAATTTGCTTCATCATTTAATCTTCCTCACTGCTCCAGGAAACAGAGATGCTAATAGTATCACCTTGCCACAGGTAAGAGGATGGAGGTGCAGTGTGTCTGCACCCTGCAGCAGCAGAGCCCAGCTCACTGGTTCCTGGATCAGCCTCTTAACTATCAAACTACAAATAGGTGCAAATGTCCTCAGGTGGAAGCAGCATAGAGTATCTGAGAAACCAACTGGCTGCAGGAAGAAGTACAGGGCCAGACAGAGCAACCTGGCAGGGTCCATCCTGTGAGTTCTTTGTGAAGCTGAGATTCCTGAGCACATGTCTTTCTTCTGCATGTTTTTTTGTTTGTTTGTTTGTTTGTAAACAAGTTAACCTGATAAATGTCTTCATAAATTCATGCTGGCTGCTCTCTAGGGAATAGGGCAGAAGATTGTCATGCTAGCAGGTGAATCAGCCACACATCTCAAATTCCTGGTCTCTGCAGCCTCAGAAATCCCTAACAGTGTATCAAGAATTTCAAGTTTGGAGAACTGTGAAGGTAGAAATCTGGAGGTCTTCTAGGTCCCAAACTGGCCATATTTAAAAGCATGACCACCCCAAAGCTTTATTTGCCACTTGCAATATTGTCCCATGCATCTTCTCTATTTCCTCTCACTCAAGTGCTTTATCCTTTGTTAACTCCACCTCTACCTTTATGTGGCTTTAGGCATCTTAGGGTTTTAGACAGTGATTTCTACTACATGGCATGATTCTCTCAGAGCCCCTTGACACACCATCTGTCTTCATTAGAAGATGAAGATGACACCATCTGTGTGCGCCAGACTATGAAACCTCAGAAAGCCATTTTCCCTGTGTCCATCTCAATCCAGTGGAATTTGGGGACCCTAGACCTGGCAAATTCCTCCGTGGGCTCCTGGAAGGAAATTTTTCTTGATATAATCATTGCTGTGTGGGATTGAGATATCCTGAAAGATATAAATAAAGATACAATACAGATCAAGGCACTTATATGCCAGGACTGAACAACGTTTCTTATCAGAGCCTCCTAAATAGTTCTCCCCAAACTGCGATCAACCACAGCATTGCCAATGCTGTGCATTTCTTGCCTCAGGCATGAACTGTCCAGGAAAGCGGCATGAGCTACGTGAACCGCTGAGCACTGGAAATGTGGCTCATCCAAATTGAGGTGTGCCGTGAAATACACACAATGTGAAAAGCTTAGTCCCCCAGCACCAAAAACTGAAATGCATCTCAATAGTCATTTTTATATTTATCATATATTCACATGATTCTATTTTGGGTATATTGGATTAAGTTAAATTTGTTGATAAATTAGTATTTTAATTTTTAAATGTAACTACAAACTGTAAGTGGGGAGAGAGAGACACACAAAAAAAAAAAGAAAGAAAAGAAGAGGGAAGGAAAGAAAAGAGGGAGGGAAAAGAGAAGGAAAAGGAAGGAAAGAAAAGCAATGTCTTCATACCATTACCTGTTTCCTCTGTCTATCCTGATTCCAGGTTTCCAGGACTCAAAGTCATTTCTGTCTTTCAAGGAAGTCCCCGTACCCTTAACTGTGGCCCAAAAAGTCACTTTTATCTCTGAGAGAAGAAATACACTATGTGCCTCCTTTGATCAGCTGTGTGTGTCCTCTGATCTCCCTGCAAGTCACCCCAGCCACATCTCATGCAGGTAGAGACTCTCCTTGTGAATGTCACCCAGAGGGATGGGTGACAAGCTTAGCTCACTGGGGCTCTTAAGACTTTTATCTGAAATAGCACAAGTAGAGGCCTGGAGCCCCCCTTGACTGGAGTATGATTCATTTAAAAATACTACTAACAGGGGAATTAATTATCTTCTTGCAGTGACTTATAAATGTATAGAAAAAAAGAATGTGCAGGGTTTTTCTGCTTGGAGTATTTCTGAATATCATTAAAGACAAGCTTTGTTTTTCCCATCTTGCTAAATATTATAATGTGCATAAATGTTATTGTATATCTTTAAATGACTGTGGATAAATTGTTAAAATATTGCACACACACCATCTGTAACAGTACCCTTAGAGAGGAAATGAGTTATATCATGGAAGAATACTTATAAAATTCTAAAGATTTGATACTGCCATTTATAAATCAAGTGTAGTTATCAAGATGTGTGGATACACATCCAGGCTGTCTTTTCTTTTGCAGTTTGCTTTTTTATTCACAGCCTTGGGGGTCTGAATTACCCCTGGACAAATGTATCTTCTCTTTTCAGGCATTAACTCTAAAGCCGGGGTTAGTATGGTCAACATCCATGGAGAAAATATTTTTTCAATCTACAACATCAAAAAGTAAGTATTTACCTAGTTAAATGTTTTAAATTACTTTTTCCTCCATGCAAGATGCCCTAAAGTTTTTTGGTTTTGCTTTCCAGCTCTACAAAGGACTTGAAGAATCATGGCTTAAGACTTTAAAGGATTGTCGATAGCAATGTTCAGCCACAAAGATGACTTAGTAGTCTCTGATCTTCTGTTTTATCCACTGATTGTCCAGAACACAGACCACAAAACTGGCTCAGCCTTAGCCTCCCTGAGCATATGATGAGAGCCATGTGTTTTCTGGACAAGCACCTCCTTGGTAAGCCCCCAGAGCGTGGACTTTACAGATTCTTCTATTAAGCCCAGGGATTTGGACAACCCTTGCAAAAAATATTGCTAATGCTTGTCATCTAAGTATGCAAGGAGAGGGCAATTCACAAATAAGCGAAGACATTTCTATCATTCTTAGGGGGCCCAGGACGGCAGAGCTTAGCACAACTGCTTGGGTCTCTTTGTCAGGAAACACTTGTGAGTCCAGGACCTGCCCTGCCCCCACCCCACACAGGGAGCAACCGCCCATTGAAGTCAAGATCAAGATGCTGGGAAAGCAGTATGTGTCCATAAAGAGAACAAAAAAGGGGACATTTCTTCAAGTAGCTAAAATTATTCCATCCCATAGTTCCTGCAGAGCCTGGCACACTGTAGGAACATAACCCTTGAAAAGCTTGTGTCTCACATAGCAGAAGAACACCTATTGCTTCCTCCTACTTTAGGTAAAGAATTCAGAGAAGGGACGGGACCCGCTAGGCAGGTCATTTTCCATTTTCAATCTCACCAGTATGCATCCTCCTTTCTTCCTTGATTGTAGAACCCTGGACAAGCATCCAGCAGATATCACCCCACTGTCCCCTCTGCTGATCCAGTCAGACACACCACCTCCTAAGGAACCCAACAGAGAGCCTAGTAACCGCTTTGAAGGTCAAGCTTTCCCATCTCCCAAAACTCCACAAAAAGACCAGGCATTATCCCGAGTTCTCCAGGGAAGCAGGACCAATGGGCTGTGCATTCAGATGGCCTTCAACTTAGTTTTTTGACTTTATGACAGTGTGAAAACAACAAGCATTCAGTAGAAAGTATACTTTAAGTTATGAATTTTGATGGTTTCCTCGGCTAGTATTATGCACTGTGGTTCTCCTGTGATTCTGGGCAACAGCGTCAAGCCATACAGTTACCAAGATGAAAGGCAGTACCTACTCTCCAGTATACTGTGTGAAGCTGAGGTGTTTGGCAAGCTAAGTTATGATGTTTAGTATACTGGGGTTATAACCTGCATTTCTGGTTTATGATATTTTCAACTTATGATGGGTTTATTGGGACATTAACCTGGGTAAGTTGAGAACCACCTGAACGTACTGAGGAATTGTAAGAAATGGGCTTGTGAGATGATGGAGGTTGGAGGTTCAAAACCCGCAGGCTGGAGACCCCGGGAAGATTTGAGACTGCACCTGGAGTCAAAGGCAGCCTCAGACAAAATTCTTCCTTCCATAGGGGAGGTCTGTCTATCGAAAGGCTTCAACTGATCTCCAAGGCTCATGCCCATTATGGAGGGTAATGTGCTCTTCTCAAAGTCTGTTGATTGAAATCTTAATCTCATATAAAACACACCCTCATTGAAACATCTAATGTTTGACCAAATATCTGGCTACTGTGGCCTAACCAAAATGACATATAAATCAACCATGACAAGCCACTCAAAAGAAAGACTTCTGAGAAAAACAAGAGTCAACCCAGGCCAGTGCCAGAGTACACACTGTCCATTCATCATTAGGAGCTGGTGGGGCTGGTCAGCTGTCCCCACTGTCATCCAGAGAGGATGTCAGCATCCCTCTTTCATGGTTGCTGACAGTTACCCAGTTCTCAGTGTCTGTTCTGAGCCTGCCCAGAGCAGGGCCACTGTGGGAAACATAAACCTCCTGAGATTTAAACAATCAACCCAAGATGGATCCTATGCCTAAAAGAAGAGCCAAAACTATGAAACTTTTAGAAGAAAATATTTAGAAGATACTATTCTTAGTAGTTAAAACCAGAAAATACTAAACAACATAATGTTTGGCTACATACATGTGTGGTAAAACCTTAAGAAATTCATGGGAATCAAGTCAGGACAGTGGTTAATCCTGAGGGGTGTGGCAGGAAATACACCAGAGAGGCCCCCCAGAGAAATTTAAGGCTTGGTAACGTCATCAGCCATGCAGGTCCCTCCTCAGAGTTCTGGGTCTCAGATTAATGGGTCCCTCCTGTAAGCTTCTAAGTGTCAACAATCTCAACTTTTTCTCTGCTCCCAAGCTTGAGCCCTGGAGCTGCTTCCCATGGCTGCTGTTTCCATAACACCCCAGTATTTCCTCTTCACCCTTCACTCACCAGCTGACAACTCCACAAGTGCCTAACATTTTTTTTTTAAGTGCTGGGAATAGACAACAATTCTTTATATTTGATTCCCTTTGTTTAAATAACTTTAGTCAGATGATTGGACCCTGATTGATTTAAAAAATTCCTTAGATTGGGTCAAAATAGCCTCTAAGTGCTCCCATTTTAACATTCTTCATAACAAATGATGTATATAACAAATATTCTTTTTTATTAAATTGTTCATCATTTCCAAGAGGAAGAGGTTTTTCATCAGATTCTGATGCTTCCCTGTTTAGAATCCTCCACTGGCTTCCTACAGTGCTGGAGAAAATACCTAAACCCCAAACCTGGGCTGAAGGACCCTCTATAACACCCACACCACTACTTCCACGGTGGAATTTGATTGCAACAAAGTTCAAGCATGTTACAAGCTTTTAGACCAATATCCTTTGGTCTAAGGATGCTTCCTTCTCCTTCTACTCTACCTCCCATATGCTTCCTTCTAATGAGACAATCCTGCGGGAATAACGAGCATAAACCACCCCAGGAGTTGTTAGCAAGAGGCACCTGCCTGCTTCATACACAGGCAGTGTACAGAGAATTCAGCTGATGGAAACACACCACTCCTTCTCATAGCAATAAATAGTATTCCTCTCATTCTAGGTATTCTAGGGATAAGTCTGCAAGAAAAACAGATATGTACCACTTCGGAGGAAATTCATTCCAATATAGGTTGGTTATATATATTCAGGTCTTTGAAGAAGACCAACATCATATAATATAACTGAAGGACATTATTTACTTCCCCTTCCTGTAACAGGATTCCCCTCCCTGTAACATATGTCATGGACCTGTGACTTGTACCTCCTGCAAAAAGATGTGCTTCCTATGTTCTTGGCATTGGGCTTACCCTTACAACTTGCTTTGGCATAGCATGTGAACAGATGTGATGAGCCCCATAACCAAGTACAATTCCTAAGAGCTCGTGTGTGTTTCTGTCAACCCTCTTTCTCTTTTTCTTCAGCCTAAAGAAAGGAATTGTCCATATTAAGATTCCTCCTTCAGTCTCCTAGGATAAAAGACACATGGAGAAGAGTAGAACCATCCTTGAACTTCAATCAACATAGAAGATAAACAAGAAACACACTTTTGTTCTTATGATCCATAGCAATTTCTGGGATCATTTGTTACCACAGGAGAGATAACAAATACAAGAAACAAGATTAACAATCTGAACAAGGAAAACTGGAAGGAGCATAAATAATTTAAGAGACAAAAAAAATTCAAGTTCATAATAAGAAACTTCAGAATATTTTGAGAAAATATATTCATAATCAAGATTACGATTTTTAAAAGTCATTAAAGGTCTTTAAATAATGTATAAAATATTATCTAAAACATGAATTTAATCAAGGGGCTATACAATAAAATCAGCATAATGGCAACCATGTGATCTAGAACAGGGGTTCTCAACTTGATTTTACTTACTGGCCACCTGATAATCTTGTGAAAATGCAGATTCTAATTTAGTAGGTTTTAGATGGGGTTTAAGGAATTGCATTTATAATTAAAAATTCTCAGGTAATTTTGATGCTATTGGTCCAAGATTCAGAATTTGGGAATCACTGTTCTAGATTCTTGCTACTCAGAGGATGGCCCAAAGACCAGTAGCTTCAACATCACCTGGGAGTTAGTTAGACATGTGGTATAGATCCTTAGCCATACTTGTGGTCCGCATCCCAGTAGCATCAAAATCACCAGAGAACTTGTTAGAAACTCAATGTTTTGGACTATACCCCAGGAACTACTGAATCAGAAACTCTGAGGGTGAAACCCAACAATTTTCTAGCAAGTTCCCCATCCATGATTCTAATTCATGCTGAAATCTGAGAACAACTGATTTAGAAATAATAGGGGATGTCTGTTTAAAACGATGTGTAACAAATAACAGAAAAGACAGGTTTAAAAAAAGAAAATGTGTGGAAAAAAAGTGAAATGAACTGTCAAAAGAAGTCAAAGAAGAGGATAAAATACATGATAGCAGTGAGAAGGGAGAAGTTTCCAGACTAAAGGACTCCTAAACATTAAGCAGGATTAATAAAATCTTCACATCTAGATGCTGGTAGGTAAATGTTCAGAGAGAGAGTTTTCAAATTGTCAGTATAGGAAACATTTTTACTCAATGAATCCCAGGCAATTCATTTACTCTTTTAATGTGTAAACTCTATAACTGAAACTGGTATTCCTAGCCTCCCACCCCAAGATGAGTAATATGAAATTAAAATGAGTAAAGATTAAAACTTCTCAGTTTCCCTCCCACATACTCTTAAAACTGCTTTAAAAACATTTCTTTGGTAAATTATTTGATGTTTTCATAGTTATTGTAGAACACTGGGATAAAATAGGCTTGATTTCAGATAAAAGTGATAGCCTAGGGGTTTGGGGTGGAGCTCAGAGGTAGAGCACCTGCCTAGTATATGCTAGCTAGGTCCTAGGTTCAATCCCCAGCACCAGCACTGCAAGAAAACTAAAAAAGTGATAACTTAATCCTTTACTTGGTGGCGTAAAAATGCTTGAATTAAATGGTATTGTGCTTTGTCACCTTTTAATATATATCTTTTAAAAATAGAAATAATTTTAACAGCTTAGTTTTAGGAAGAAGCCAATCTTGCTACAATTGTTTAGCAATTTTGAGTCTAGCAATATAAATATTCAACTATGTAGTTTACTTAATACTAAACACACATATATTAAAAGAAAAAAGTTTACAAGATTTTAGGCAACAAATTTATTCTCTGAAATGCTTTTCTTTTGATAAATCAAAGAAATTGAACAGGTTCTATTTTTAGAGGGAAAAGTTTCCAATACATAGTGGAATTTCATGACCTTTTTGCAATTTGGTTACTAACTTGTGTGACTTAATTCCAAAATCATTGAGCATTTATTACAATCCTACCTGGCTATGAGAAGGCAACTGGTTTTGCCCTCCATTAAGTTTATATTCTGTTGAAAGCAAGCAGGAAGCAAGGAAGAAATGAACTCATTATAGGTAGATGCTACAGAGAAAATGAACAAGATTCAGAGAATAACAAAAGGGATGGGGAGGTATCCTTACAAGGGGTCTTTAGTAACTGTCATATGACCCAAAAGGGCATAAGCAACCATCCATGCAAAGTGAAGGAAGAGGACAGTCCTGGCACAGAAAAGAACAAATACAAAAGTCTTGGAATGTAATAGAGTACAGAGTGTCCTAGGAAGTCAAAAGATATCAGGGGCTAGGCAAGGGAGAGGCCCCAAATGGGCAAATAAAACCAAATAGGGATCAGATGTGAACAGGTTTGATGGCTGTTGGAAGGAGTAATGAAAAACCATGGAGAGTTTCAAGCAGGAAGACACATTTTTAAATTTGTGTTTTCAAAATATTACTTGGTTACCCAGTGGAATAGCTATTATTAAAAAAAAAAAAAAGTAGCACATGTTGGCAAGGATGCGGAGAAGCTGAAATCCTGGTGTACTGCTGGTGAGAATGTGAAACGCTACAGCTGCTGTGGAAAACAGTATGACAGTTCCTCAAAATATTAAAAATAGTATTACCATATGATCCAGCAGTCCCACTTCTCTGCATTTATCTAATAGAATCCAAAGCAGTATCTCAAAGAGATATTTTCACACCCAACAGCAGCCCAGGGGTGGAAGCAACCCTACATGTCCATTGATGGATGAACAAAGAAACAAAATGTTGTCTCTACATACAATGGAATATTATTCAGTGTTGAAAAGGAAGGAAATCTTGATGCATGCTACACCATGGATAAATCTTGAGGACATTATGCTAAGTGAAATAAGCCAGACACACACACAAAAAAACCAAGTATAGTAAGTTTCCACCTACATGAGGTATCCAGTGTGTTGAAATTCAGAGATACACAGTAGTAAAGTGGAATGGTGTTTACAGAGGTGCAGGGGTGGGAGAAAGAAACAGAGAATTAACTATTTAGTGATCAGAGTTTCAGTCTGGAAGATGGGAAATTTCTGAAAATGGATAATAGTGATGGGAGTGCAACAATATGAAAGTACTCACTGCCACTGACGTGTACCTCTAAGATGGTTAAAACAGTAAATTTTATGTTAATAATATTTTACTATGATTAAAAAATGCTGGTGAACTTCAAAAAACACAATATTCTGGCTGTCACATGAATATGGATTGCAAGGGGACAAAAATGGAAGTGGAACAGCAGCTGGAAGGCAGGTAACAATCAAGTTGAAAGGAGAGTGGAGGCTGGGACCAGAAAGCAAGAGCCCCCCTCCCATTGGGAAGGCCATTTTAATAATAACTGATTTTGCAATGACAACATGAAGCAAGCATCTTCTAAAATGTCTAGATTCTCGTTCCAATGAGTTCCACTTTGAGTCTGTTCAATTAGCAATAAAAAAAAAAACTAATGCCCATCAGTATTCCATTTGTGGTATGTAGGAGGTACACACACATGGATATTGAACAGAGGACCACATTCTAGAGAGTGGGAGGGTCCCCCTGTAAGTCCACATGTAGGATTAGCTCAGATTTCCAACTATTTCTTCATGTAAGTATTACTTTAGAATCACAAGGAACTTAGATACAAATACAGATTCTGCTAAATCTAAACTTGAATACTGAGACAGACATTGAAATATTTCTGAAAACTTGTTCTTTTTATTTCAACAAATGCCATTATCAATTGGTCTTTGTGAATATTACCAAATAATGTCTTTATCGTGTAAGTGGATAGACTTCTTATTTGACCTGCATGACATGTACATATAGAAAACAACTAGTAATTACTACTGTTTACATTGTGATTTATGAAAATGTCCTTGGTATTGAATTTTGTAAATATACTTATCTCCTTCTAGTTATGTTTCTTTTTAATTTCAGGTTAAGTGCCTTTGATATGTGCAGTAGGGGTTGGGCCTCCATTTCTGGAAATGCTTGGGACCAGAAGAATTTTGGATTGGAGAAATTTTGAATTTGGGGATATTTGCATATACATAATGAGATATCCTGGAGATAGGACCTAAGTCTAAAGATAAAATTCATTTGTTTCGTGTATGCCTTATATATCTTGCTGGATGGGAACTTCATATAATAATATCTTTAGTTGCACCTTGCAGAAGTCAAGTGTGGAATTTTCCACTTGTGGTGTCCTGCTGGTGCTCAAAACGCTTCAGATTTTGGAGAATGAAGTTTTGGATTAGGAATTCTCAGCCTGTATCAACTACTTCTTGATAACTTGTAGGATGTAAGAAGAGCTTTCATAGCAAGCCTCAGGTCTTTATTTTAAAGTGATATGCAATATGTCATAACATAAAAACAGAATAATTTTTTTCAAGAATATGTCTGATAGACTGATGGCAAAGTGTAAGGTGACTACCTTTTTGTAATACCTGTGTGCAATATTATAATATATTTTTCAATCCTCATAACCTTTCAGGAGGAATTTATGTAATAAATGAAGGCTTGGCTGAGGGGCCACTTTTCACCTTTACTTTGGCTTTTCTCTCCTCCCTTCAAAACTTTGGAAAACATGTAAGCGCATTACTCAGTGAAATATTTTAGAGTATGTTATTTCATTCTGTTCTGTCCTAAAATGAACATTCTAAAACAATTCCCACTGGCACATGTACAAACAGCTTCCATTTGTGAAACAATGCCCTTCTGGATTTTAACTCTCTGACTTCCTGAAAGTTATTTCCAAGGAAACACATCTGAAATGGTGCATTCTCTTTGCTCAGATGCAATTGCTACTTCCTAATGAACTAACTTTTCAGAAATTTTTACATCTTGTTCAGCAGCCAAAGTTCTGCAAACTCTCTGTGTAACAGCAGCAGAAAATAAGAAGACAAAAGGGAAAAGGTCTCCACAAATCCTCTGTGGACCACTGTGTAACCTTGGACCGTGCATCAGGAAAATCTTGCTTCTAATTGGAAACATACTCAGCCTTAATGCTTTTGCCAGCTGGGAAGCTGAAACTCTGCAAATGTGAGCAGAAAAAAAAAATGGGCTAGATGACTTTTCAGTGGAGGGGTTTTAAAAAATGGTATTTTCTCACAGCTATTCCTGCACAGCAAATAACTCACTAGTTAAATCAACAGTTTCCAAGAACTCTAAAAAAGAAACAAATTAGAAGTAATGTTGGGAAGTTAATCTTTGATTTGTTTTCAATGAAAAAGCAATTTGCTCACTATAGGCTCCTGCAACATGAGCACCAGGAGTAGAGTTTTATTTTTCCTATATTTACTTGGGATTCCAGATTAAACCATATCACAGCTTTCAGTTTGACCTAGACCATTAAGTATATTCCATCCTTACTATGAGTCACAGTAGTCACTCTTCAAAGACTCCAATTAGAGTAATTATGTTCTTGCTTTGTTTTGTTTTGGATATCTTTGTTTTAAAATTTTGGGTGCATTATACATAGTAGTGGGAATTATTTGTCTCTCTTCTTATTTTCTGCTGCCATATACATACCTACACATAACATAATTTAATCAATCTCATCCCCTAGTCCCTTCCCTTTTCCTCTCCACCTCCTTCCCCGGGGCCACTTACTCTACTGACCTCCCTTCTATTTTTTTTTTTTTTATTATTTCAACTAGTGCCTTATAATTATATATGTACATATATATGTATATGTATATGGGATTCATTGAGGTATATTTATACATGGACGTAACATAATTTAGCAGATTTCTTTCTCCAGGACTTCCCCATACCCTCACCTCCTTCCTCCCACTTGATATCCTTTCTCTACTCTATGGGTCTCCCTTCTATTTTCATGAGATCCTCCTTTTACTATTTCTCTCACTCTCTCTCACTCTCTCCTGCTCTTCCCCTGACCTGCCCCCCTCTCTCTCTGACTTCCACATGTGAAAGGAAACATTTTAACCCTTGACTTTCTGAGTCTGGCTTATTTCACTTAGCATAATGTTCTTCAGTTCCATCCATTTAACAGCAGTAAATAACATAATTTCATTTTTCTTTATGGTTGAGTAAAAACTCCATTTTGTATATCTACTATATTTTCTTTACCCATTCTTCTATTGATGGGCACCTGGGCTAGTTCCATACTTGGCTCTTGTGAATTGCACTGTTATAAAATTGGTGTGCATATATTATGGTAGTATGCTGATTTGAGTTCTTTTGGATAAATACCAAGGTAACTATGCTTTTAATAAGTCAAAAGCAAAAGGCATTTTAGACATATGTATTTATATACATATATCTTAAAATCATTCTATTTGAAAAGACAAAATAAGATTTTTATCATTTTTACAAACACCAAATTGCTATTTTAACTTCCCATAAAATTATAATGTGAAATTCATATTCTATGATTTTCTTCAGCCAAGGTGTAGCACAGTCCTTGAAGATATCCTTATTCTCACAAAGCATTTTGTGTTTTGACATCTGAGTCACATTTAAGGAGTAAAACCGGCTCTTTCACAGCACAAATAGCTATATAAATGTCCAGAATTGTCTTATAGATTTTACAACTGAAAAAAATGCTATTTGGTTCTTATTAAAGTCATAGAAAGGTCATACTCTAGTGTATCTCAAAACTTCATGTATATATAAATGTCCTAGGAACCAAAATGTAGACACTGAAGGATTGAACCTGTCACAAAGCCTGAGAATCTGCATTTCTGACAACTTTGCAGGGAATGGAATCCACCATAGTTGATTAAATGATGTACTTAACTCAATACCTATGCCTCGATGTTCCCCACTGATTGTTGAATAAAGTAGTTCTCAAACCAGCATAGGTTGTATGATACCAGCTGGGGGAGGGAGGAAAGCATTGCTTTATGCAAAGGGGGTGGGCTGACATTTAAAACAGCAGCTGGTGAGAACTGTATCTACCCAGTGGAGGAATGGCAAGGCTTCTCCCAGCCTAAATTACCATTGTTAGGAAAGATGCTTGAGAAGATTGAGCATGGAAACTGAGAACTTCCAGAAAATAGCCTGGAAAGAACCAAAAGAACAGACAGCACATTGAGTTGTTGCCCACATGGAAAGTTACCAACGCTGGGGCAGGTGGAGGACTGAGTGAGAAGAGGCATTTGTTGAGAGGGAGACTGGCCATGCAGTGGCAGCTTGCACTAGTGGATAGTGAGGTGCCCTCACTTTGGAGCAGATAAAGGAGTTTTGAAAACAGATATTTTAAGGGAAGACTGTGCTCTTCTGCCACATTTTCCAGCCCCACCCCCAGCAAGAAGAATCTTGGGATCAAGGATAAAGGGCTGTGTCCCATATCTGAGTTTACACAACAGATAAGACACAAGGAAGATCAAAACAGCAGTGGAAGCAGGAAATTGAAGCAAGATGTGACCAGGAGAACTGTTTGCCCAACCTCTTAGAGACAATGCAAGGGGGAAAAATTTTTCTAATGTAAACAAGTAGGCTTAATGTGAATTATATGTAAATGTCTCTCATTAAGTACAGGACTTTGGGTCATCTCAGCAACTGATACTTATGTTATGTTCATAGAGAAAAGATTTGTAAAAGCACACACCAGAATGTTGACTATATTTATGAATGATGGGATTGTGGATGGTATTGGGGGGCATATTTCATAATTTCATAAGCAAAATGTTTTACTCTGGAATTGGAAAAAAAATGATATTCCACTTCACCACCACTGCCAAATGAGGCCATTTTCCAGCAGAAGTAGTCTTTGAGCTGAGACCTAAAGAATAAATAAGCATTAGCCAGGTTAAGAATGGGCCTGTGTGGGAGAGGACTCCATATGCTGAGACCTGAGACACAGAGGGCTGGCTGCATTGGATGAGCTGAGAATGTGCCCCGAGAGTTGGGTAAAAAGGAGCAGAATGACTCAGGCTGAGGACACACCAGTAGCCAGGAGACAGAACTCTCAGAGCCTCCAAAGCCAGGGAAGTAGTGTGATTTTTTGCTGAGTGTAATGGCGAGTTGTGGAAAGGTTTTCAGCAGATGGTGAAATGATGTGACACAGAGAAGGAGAAAAATGGAGTTGAGGAGTCAGTTAAGAGCCCTTCACAGTTTCCAGGCAGTAGGGTATGGTGGCTTTTGTCTGTATCAGTAATGGGTTAGAACCGATAGGTCTTAGAGATGGATGGGCTAAGGAATAGGAAATCACAAATACACACACCCCACCCCACACCCCAATCTCCAGAGTTTAGCGCTCAAACAACAAGTGAGTGGAGATACCAGTTTTTAAAGATGGAAACTAGGAGAAATGGGCTTGAGAAGGAAAGGTCCAATTATAGGAATGTTAAGTTTGGAGTAAATGTAAAATAGCCAAAGAAAGATATTGGTAAATAATTTGATTTAAAAAAAAAAAAATCATGGCCATGAGAGGCCATGGATGAACTGGAAGTTTTCGGTGTCTAAGTAGGGAAGTTATGTAATTTACCATCCAAACTGGGACAGTTCTGAGAGTAAAGTCGGGGAGATGCTACTGAGAATTTTTCTGAGATCATAGGTATCAATGGGACTACCTGTGGGAGAGTATTGAGGGAGAAGAGAAAGATACCTAGAACTAACCTGAATTCCAATATTTATCACTAAATAGTAAGTACAGGAGGAAGAGCTAAAATACAGACAGAAAAGGAAAAAAAAGCATGGGAGAATGGGTGACATGGAAGTGAAAAGAAGAAGAAAAGCATTTTAAGAAGGAAGTTTGCTTAAGTGAGTCACATATGGCTAGCAGCTCTAACAAGGTTGATGGAAAATGTTCATTGGATTAAGCAACATGGAAATCACTGATAACATTAGCAAAAATAGTTTGGGCAGAGTAGAGGGTATAGAAGTTGAAGAGAAGGTAGACACTGAGAAAGTAGAGACAGTACTTAGGCTGAGTCTTGGCTAGAAGGGATAATATAGTTACCTAACAAGAGCCATAGTGAGAGAATATAGAATAAGTAGAGAAACAGGTGAAATTAGCATAAGAGTTACTGGGAAGTATCTGAATAATGATGAAGATGATCTAGGAAAATCTGTTCTAGTAAAATAAATTTACTAGAATGTATATAGTAGTACCACTGTTTATAGTGCCAGAAACCTAGAAATGACCCAGTGTCTACCAAAAGGAGAGAAGATGGATATTTACACTGTGAAATATTGTATAGGAGTAAAAATGAATAAACCACAGTAACACACAACAATGTGGATGGATGTGGCAATGTCCATAGCGTAAGTGGTAAACATAAGTGAAAAGAAGTACATATATTATGATACCCTTTATAAAGTTAAAAATATACCTTATAAGGTTCTCAATTAAGGCAATAAAATTACATGAAGTAGAAGAAAAAGAAATAATAAACCTGGGATTTTGGATGATGGTCATTCCATATCATCTCATGTCAGATGCAGGGTGCTGGGAAGGCAGAGTAGAACCTGGAATCTGGTACCAAGATGAAGATCACTGAAAATTCCCAGCTTGTTTCAACTGATAGATTAACAGATGTTTACTACATATTAAAAACTGGAAATGGCCATAAATAGATCTATGTTGGGGATGTTACAAATCACATTTATAATTAATCTAGGTCTATGTAACTGGGGCCCAAATGGCCAGGGTGGGTGTGCAGGCAAGGATTCCATCAGGGCCATCCTGACCTGAGATTGTCACAGAAGACATATTGATTGCACACCTATTTTCAACATAATAGTTCAGACAGAGGAAAGGACACTGCCACAAGACAGAATCAAAAGCTAAGGAGCAGTCTTTCTGTTTTTGCACAGAACATTTTCTACAGATAGGCCTCCTCCTCTTACATCTTTTTCTGGGCATCAGAGAATATTCACTTCACCGATATGAGTTGCGTGAGGCTATTTCATTTTCCAAATCTGCTGTTTGTCTTGTTTGCTTTAGTTACAGCAGTCAATTAATTGTCTCATGTGAAAATGATGAAATGATCTTTCTAAAGTAATTTTATTTGTGATATTTCCATAGATGTAAAACTATACCGCGGTTGTCATTTTAACACATTCACATGATTCATAACCATTGCATTAATAGCCAAATCCCTGAAAGCATGCTTGGCAATATTATTGAAGCAGATTTTACTCCGTTAAATATTAGGTTTCATTTCTCCCTACATGAGCTACTTGATTAAATTTCCTTTTACTAATTTCAGCCCATGTCCCCCATTTATCAAGATCAGATTGCATTTTAAGAACATCTCCTCAACTATTTGTAATTCCTCCCTAATTTTTACCATTGGCAGATGGATCCCGTTGGAGTAATTTCCACTTTCTCCAAATGCTTCAGAAACATATGGGGAGAAAACTGAAACAGACACTCAACTGAAAGCAAATCACAAGTTTGTTATAGACGAAAGAAATGCAGTAGGGTAGCCTCAAATGACTGTTTGGTTAGCAGCTGTGACTTACACACACAAGAAAACTCTCAGTAGCTTGGCTTTTGTTTTGTCTTCATAACAATCCTCAAACGCTCTTCAGATTGGGGTGGGGGGCTATTGCTGATTTCCTAGGGGTTATATTAACCAAATGTTTTCCCTTGAAACAGATTTGGCCTCATTGTCTCCCCTAGGAATTCTCCTTCTAGAAGAATCCAAGGCGATGTAATGCGGTATTCTAATCAACACCAGCAGCACTGTGACTATTCACACTGGTTCAGTAGACTACACAGCACTCTCAGAATAAGCCAGGATGGCTAATAAGCCAGAGTTTCAACTCTTCCTCTGGATATCAATTAATTCATTGATTTATTAATCTCCTCATTAATTTAACTGATTAGAAAGTCTAGGATGCATTCAGTTTCTCATGGGTTTGGATCTGTAAAATCTAAGTCAGCTGGTTACATGCTGAAGAGTTCACTGTGCTTCCTGCCTCCTATTTCCACATTGCCTCCCTCCCCTGTGTGGATGCTGCTCTTGAACAGAGAAGCAATGACCATGCAAGCCAAGACTTGTGATTTGTGAGATCCAGCATGTTGTAACTTAAAAAGCTAAGCAGTAGAGGAAATTAGGCTTAGATTCCTGCCATAACAAAAGATTGGAAGGAGACTAGATAAAAGCCAGACCATCCTGCCTCCACAGATGCAATCTGTTCATGGTTGGGAGCAAGACTTTCCAATAGGGGTAAGAACAACTTCAAGGCTGAGTAGGGGAGGAAAAGGAGCACCTTAGAACTCCCTTTAGGTATGACTAAGGACACTATGTCTGGCTGCCTTGGTGAAATTTAGGGAATAGAATGCTTTGGGGAATAAAGGCCCTCAGCACTGGCAAGGCCTGGAAACAACCATCTTATTTGAGCTTTGCAAAGACAGCAGGCCGCACAGAATTCTCTGTGCTGCTCTGCATGGGAAAGGGACGGTTGCATGGAGTGCTGGGGCTTTGGTGAGCCACCTGGGAAGTCTATGTGTTGCTGATGGGGTGTGCAGAGGCAACAAATATTTCTCCCGGAAGTGAAGATTAGAATAGTGAGAAGCAGTAGGCATGGGCACATCTTGCATTCCTGGGTGAGGGGGTCACAGACCCCAGTGGGAGGATGCAGCCCAAATGGCACATGGACAGTGTGAGTCAGGCTCAAAGGCAGACTTGGCTGCCTTTGTACATACTAGTGGGGTTGTAGTTGATCAATTCAACAGGCAGACTACTTGCTTTGCTGGAAGAAGCCAGCAAGACCGAGAGGTCTGTCCAGCTCCAAAAGTCCTTCCTACCAACACACAATACTGATTCCTCTCTACATGAAGATGCAAAAGA